CCATGAATTTCTTGGCGCGCGAAGGCAGGCGCTGGCGGTCGATGACAAGCGCCCGGCAGCCTTGCGGCCGCCGAAAGACATGCTGGGAACGAATTCCGCCAAGAGCAGGAACGAGAGGGGCGTCGGCCGGGGGGCGCCGGCGACTCCGCGGCTGCGCGGCGAAGCTCCAGGGGCCCCGCAGACGCCTCTGCTGCACGCGCGCCTGGGCCTCGGCCTCTGGCCCCGATGGAAGCGCCGAGCGGGGAACGGATTGCCCGCCAGTCCGGCGGGCGTTGACGCGACGACGCGGCGCGAGCATCCTCTGGCAGCCAGAACACAAGAAAAAGGCAGCGCCGAGGGCGCCGGCTCCGCGGCGAAGTCCAATGCGCCCTTCCAGCGGCCGAGAGTGGCGGTGCAGGGGTGTGAAAAATGAAAAAGAAAATGCAGGTGGGCGAGCCTCGCGAGAGCCCGCGCGCCCCCTGACGAGGGGGGTGCGACGTGTGAGCGCGCGCCCAAGACGGGGCCGGCCAGCGCTGCGACGGCCCAGTTCAAGCGGCGCTTCGCGGCGCGGGCGCCAATGAGATGTCGCCCCCATGCGGGGGGCGCGGAGAAAATGTCCGCGACGACTCTCGGCGTCTCGCGCGCGCGAGGCCCAGCAGCGCGGGCGCGATGCCGATGATGCAGTTGTCGTTGCGGCCTTGACCTCCCCCTTCAGATCCGCGGCCCCCCGCGCGAGGCGCGCGGGCTCGGCCGACGGCGGAGCGGCGCGGGGGCGCGAGGGGGCCCTTCGGGCCTTCCGCGCGCTAACCCTTTGAATCGCGATCCTCGCCCACCTCGGCCTCAACTTCCTCGCGGGCCCTCTCCGCGAGGCCCCTGGCCTCCGTTCCGCGTCCGCCTCCACCTCGGCCTCTTCTGGCAAAGCGAAATTGTTGTGGGGGGTCGATCCTGCTCGGCGCTCCCCCTCCTTCTCTTCGGCTTCCTCTGGTGCGCCTCCGCGGCCCGACATCGGAATTGGGTGGTCGGTCGCGCTGAGCTCCTCGACCGCCTGCCTCTGCGCCCCCCTCCGAAAGCGACTTGAACTTCAGGGTGGCCTTTCTCCCCTGTCGAACTGCTCGTTGGGTGCCTATGTGAGCCCTCGACTCCAGCGCCTCGGAGATCATCGCGTGGGTGGCGGCCTTGGGGGTCTTCTCTGGGTCGCGGCCTGCGTCGGCCGCCATGTTGCGCCGCGTCACTCCGTCGACCCGCTTCAGCTCGACGCGCAGGTAGCGTCCCGGGCGCCGGCGCGCCGCCCCCGGCAAGCCCTTCGCGCGCTCGACCAGCCGCGAGCGCTTGCGACGCGGGGCGGGCTCGTCACCTTGGCCGGCTGGGGCTAGCCCGTGCTCGCGCGCATCCGCTGGCGCCGCCGGCGCGTCCGTCCTCCTGAGCACGCGTCGCCGCGCTGGCAAATCGCGCTCCTTGGGGTGCTGGCCGTCCGGCGCAGGGCTCGTCGCCGTCGGCGAGGCCCAATCCGTCCGCGGCCGCCGCGAACATCGCCCCCGCGATGTTCGCCCTCTCCGCGCCCTCGATCCTCCACTGGGGCCCTTCAGGGTCTCGATCAAGATCCTCGGGCGTTCTGGCGCCACCGTTCCGCAGCGCCCGTGGGCTGAAGCTGCGGCACTCGAAACCCAATTACCAAAACAGATGCCGGCTCTCCTGGGCCGCCCGCGGGTTTTGGCAACTCGTTCGAATGGGCGTCGGTACTCTGGATTGGGTTTCCACTTCCTCGTCGCGGGTCGCCTCAGCCGTTCCTGCGTTTTTCTCCGGAGTCCCCGCTCCGCTCGCGGTGGGTCTCCGCCTTTCTGCAGTTGCTTTGAACGATTGTTTGCGTCTTCTGTCTGCTTGAACGGAGGCTGGGGCTATGTCCCCGCTGCCCCGCTGCAGTCGCAAATTTCTGCATGTGCTGTCACCTGGCGCCCCCTCATCGTTGGTTGCCCCCAGCGCCCTACCCCTGCTGGCAGCTCGCTTAGCTTCTCCCAATACGTCGCCCCTACTGCCCGAATGTGACAGACTGTGCTGGCCCGTGCTGCGTTTTTTTTGTTGTTCTCTCTCTCTCTCTCTTGCGCGCTCTCCTCTTCCGTGGTGCCTCCAATTTTCGGCGCCTGCCGCCAAGTTTGCACTTCATTGGGTGCGAATACGGACAGACCCTGGACAGAAAAACATCATCCAAAAACATGAGCCCCTCCGCCAGCCAAACTGAAGAACATCCGAAGGTACCCTCCTCCAGCATGCACAAGAACATCCAACATACACGGGAAACATGAGGGTACCCTCCCCGAACCGACCTCGATCGTATACCTCGATCCAACCATACCCGTCGGTCAACACAAATTATACCAACATCAAGTAGGAAGGCGGATCAAGTAGATTGGGCTCAGGCCCTCCCAGAGAATTATTATCCCAGTGCGACCCTACCTAGGAGTTGGAGCATTTAGGAAAGCAACCTCTACATCTACACCGACAGCTACATGTACATCTACACCTGCATCTACATCTACATCAACATCAACAGCGAGACTCACATCTACATCTACATCTACACCTACATCCACACCTACATCTACATCTACACCTACATATACACCTACATCCACATCTACACCTACACCTACATCTACATCTACACTTTCGCATTGGTTTTGCTTTTGCTTTGCATTGCCTTTGCCTTTGCTGTTGCTTTTGCCTTTGCCTTTGCTGTTGCTTTTGCTGTTGAATTTGCTTTGCTTTTGTTTTTGTTTTGCCTGCGCACAGACACACACACACACACACGCATGTTTTCGCATTCGCTCACCGGGTGTGCTTGAGAATGCTATGCTATGCTATGATATGATATGCCGCGCTATGCTATTCTAGGCTATGCTATGCTATGCTATGCTGTGCTATGATGTGCTGCGCTGTGCTATGCTAAGCAATGCTATAATGTGCTATTCTATGCTATGGTACATTATGATATGCTATGCTATGCTAGGTTATGCTATGCTATGCTATGTTGATCTATGCTATGCTATGCCATGCTATGCTTGGCCATGTTATGCTATGCTATGCTGTGCTAGTGCTGCGCTGCGCTATGCTGCGCTGCGCAAAGCTAAGCTAAGGTAAGCTAATCTAAACTGAGCTAAGCTAAACTAGGCTAGGCTAAGCTAAGCTAAGCTAAGCCAAGCTAAGTTAAGCTACGATGAGATAAGCTAAGCTAAACTAAGCTAAGCTAGGCTAGGCTAGGCTAGGCTAGGCAAAGCAAAGCTAAGCTAGGCTAAGATGATATAAGCTAAGCTAAGCTAAGCTTAGCTAAGCTAAGCTGGGTGAACCCAGGGGGCGCAACTGGGGGAACCGCAGGGCGGATACTGGGGGAACCGCCCGGGCAGGTTCCCACTGCCCGGCCCTTTAAGCCAAGAGAGTAAGAACCCTTCTAGGCAGAGCCTAGGTAGGGAACAAAGCATAGCATCAGCTGATCGGTTCTTGAAGTAGGAAGGCGCTTAAGTAGATTGGGATCTGGGAATCCGGAAATACATACTTTCAGCGACCATAGTGTAATTATGTGCAGCCGACGCAGTCCTGCACTGCTTGTTAAATGCAGACTATGTCCTTCCGACCTGCCATTTGTTCCTGCATTTTGTCCTTTCGTAGCCTCCTGCTGTTGCTCTTGGCCGCGGGCCGCGAAGCGCCGACAGCACACGAGAAAGGGAGCACGCCCTGGGCAAAGCCCCGCGCCGAGCGAAGGTTTCGTTGTACTGTGGGCCCCTCGTGGAACTCGCGGATGCGCTCGGCGCCGAGGTTTCGCGGCGGCTTGCGGTCATGCTAAACGCGCGGCTGCGTGGCACTCTGGGATTTTGTGGGCCGCGCACCTTTTCCCACCGCAGATCACTTCATCTCTGTACTCCGACTGCCAATCGCAGCCTCGCACAGCCCGCCGAGCCCGACACAGCGAGGCAAATGCATGTGTCACGGGGCCAGCGCAAGAACAGCAGCACAGGGAGGAAAAGTAGCACAGGGAGGGAAGGCGTCTGTTGGACGCGCGGATGTGCTCGTCGCGAAAGGTTTCGTAGCATGTTGAGACATTGCGAAGCCCTGTGAGACGCGTGAGCGGGCTCGGCGCCGAAGGTTTCGTGTCACTTTGACAGACTGGGTGGGACGCATGGACGTGCTCGGCGCCGAGGGCTTCGCGGCACTTTGAGGCCGAGTGGGGCGCGCGGATGCGCTCGGTGCCGAGCGTTTCGTTGCAATTTGAAGCCGCTCGAAGCTCGCGGATGTGCTCGGTGCCGAAGGTTTCGAGGCACTTTGAAACCCTTTAAAACCGCCATTGGGAGTCGAAGCCCGTCAGACACTCATTCTTTGCAATGCTGGCTTATGGGTCGAAACGTCTTAATGTGGCTCGATGGCTCGAGCACGGAAGGGCCACCGCCCAGGCGCGCCAAGCGTCGCACCATTTGAACGGACGCTTTGGCCCATGTCGGTTCGGCATGCGTGCAGCGCCGGATGTGACTGCATGGGGCTGCCTTGGACATGATGTGCACGCAAATTCCACGTTCTGAGAAATGCACACGTCCGTTTTCAATTTTGTCGCAGGCTGTAATTCGCGCCCCCGGCTGCCGCTCGGGACGATCCAGACACCCCCAGAACGCTCTCGTCGAGGCGCGGCTTCTGGAGGGCGTGCCGGGGCAACAAAAACGTCCCAGAACCGACGAATATATCAGACAATTTCAGAGAGCACCTCCACGAAAACGAAGCAAAACACCTCCAAGCATCGACGGACCTATTCTAAACCTTCCTCCGTCCGCGTCGCGCCTCGGCACCACCGCCGCCGTCGCCGCCGCCATCGTCGTCGTCGTCGTCGTCGTCGTCGTCGCTGTCGCCGTCGTCGTCGCTGTCGCCGTCGTCGTCGCCGTCGCCGTCGCCGTCGCCGTCGTCGCCGTCGACGTCGTCGTCGTCGACGTCGTCGTCGTCGTCGTCGCCGTCCGCCCCCGGCGCCCCCCGCGGCGGGACCCGGCCTCCCGGAGCGACTCGCCCAGGGCCCACTGCAGCTGGTCCTCCGCGCGCGGGCTGCGCCGCGCGCCCAGAGGCTGGCAGCCGCGGGCGCGGGCGGCGACGACGACGGAAGCACGACGCGGAGGAAGGAAGCTTTCGAACACGTTCGCCTGTTCTCGGAAGTTTTCTCGCTTCGTTTTCGTGGAGGTGCCCTAAGGTCTTCGCGTCTGCCCGTCGGTTCTTGGAGGTTCTCTCGCCTCGTTGTCGTGGAGGTGCCCTGACATGTTGGAATCTGTTCGTCGGTGCTTGGATGTTTTTTCGCCTCGACACGACCTCCAGCAGCCGCGCCTCATCGAGAGCGTTCTGGAGGTAGGTGCCCGCATCGTTCTGGACGGTCGCCGGAAGCCCGAGTGATATCCCGAAAACCGAGAGGAGGACGAGGAGGAGGAGGAGGAGGAGGAGGAGGAGGGGAGGACGAGGAGGAGGAGGAGGAGGAGGAGGAGGAGGAGGAGGAGAAGGAAGGAGGAGGAGGAGGAGGAGGAGGAGGAGGAGGAGGAGAAGGAGAAGGAGGAGGAGGAGGAGGAGGAGGAGGAGGAGGAGGACGAGGAGGAGGAGGAGCACGAGGAGGCGAGGCGAGGGGATGGGAGGCGAGGCGAAGCGAGGCGACGCCCGCGGGGAGCGCCTCCCGAGGAGGACGGCGGTGGGGCCGTATCCCGTCAGAGCGAATCCGCCGACCCTGTCGGCGTGTGGAAGAGGCTGTTCCGTTTGACTCGTCCTCGTCGTCGTCGGGGTCGCTGTTGTCGTCGTCGTCGCTGTCGCCGTCGCCGGTTCCCTCCCTTTCCCTGAGCCTGGCGCCGCTGCCTCTACTTTCACTGGGCTCTCCTCCTCGGGCGTGCCAGCCACAGCGAAATTGAGTAGCGCTGTAGTTGAGTCGAAGGGAAGCCCCTTCCCTTTGATCCCTTCCCCGCCGGGGGGCGGGGTCCCGGGGGGGGTCCCGGGGGGGGTCCCGGGGGTCATAGCGGACCTGAACCCCTGAAAGGACCCTTTTATCGTGGTTTGAGCAGTCAGAAAAAGGGCAGCTATGTATATTGGATGAGATGGCGGCGGAGCAACAGGATGCGCTGGAGGAAGAAAATGAGGATAAGCAAGGGGGGGGGGACGAGGATGATCGGTAGCAGCAGCAGGATAAGGAGTTGGAGGAGCGGAAAGAGCAGGTGGACCAGTAGGGGGAGGAAGGGAAAGGAGCCGCAGTGGCAGCTGTGCGGCTGGGGGGCGACTACTACCTCGGCATTGTGGGCACCGATCGGCATGTGTTGATCGGCGCCCTTGTCGCTCTCGGGCGGTGAGGCGGCGGTCGCTGGTGTTGGGGTGGTGGTCTGGAGGGCTATCAGGAATTGCTGGAGGTCGTTGCGCATAGCGTTGGTGGCGCTGGCAGCGGTCTGTTAATCCGCTGCAGCCGCTCTGGGCCCCCCCTCCAGTCTAACGACAGCATCGGTGAGCGTGGACTTGGACACCATTGGTTCCACATTGACGCGAAGCATTTTTTCCAGAGCACCTGGTTGTCGGGACTGCGCGTCCCACGCGCCTGCCCTCTGAGAGGACCGCCCCGTAAGGGGCTGGAGCGCGGGTCGCATCGCATCGCATCGCATCACATCGCATCGCATGCCTTGGAGACCGTGGACTTGTTGGGCCAGCTGGTCATGAGCACATTCCATCTGTTCCAGTCCGACAACCGCAGCGTCTGGAAGGCCGCTGCACGATCCAAACTCGTGGAAATCCTCCCTGGAGTCCTCCGAGTAGGCGTCCCTGCGGTCCTCATCGCCTTCCGAGCCGCGGAAAATGCGGGCTTCGGACAAGGGAAGTGCGTCGGTTCCCGTGATGGATGTCCGTGGAGCGGGAAAGGGTAGCGCCTCTGTCGGTTGGTTCTGTTGCTCGCCGTTCTCATGGGGGGCGACCGGGCCCACGGAGTCCACCTCCGAGGGTACATGGGGTGTCGGCAGAGCCTCTGGGGCACTTTTCACTGAACTGAGGCGGCCCCCTTCCACAACGGCAGCAGGGCGCGCCCGGCGCGTGGCGCTGTTGGATCTGGGCCACGTGGCGCTAAGTAAGCGATCGAGACCGTTTGATGGGGGCGGCTCTGCGGCTGCGCCTCTGCCGCTGGGGGTGGGGGCTGTCACGGGGTCGTGGGGATGGCGGCGGTTAGCCGCTTTCTCAATAAGAGTCTGGGGAAAAGGGCTTGGGTCGCTTCCTTTGGGGGGCTCTTGAGCGTGGACGTCATGAATGTTAGCGGGCATCACTATACGGCGGTGCACTTTCTTAGTGGCAGCGTCGGTGCAGGGTGCTTCGGCGATTGTCCATGGGGCGGTGCACTGTTGGACCTTTACTGCGGTGTTTGGGGGTGGTCCACGGCGTCAGTCTCGTGCAGCGTGGCTCGGATCCAGGCCACGTTGCGTGCAGGGTCGAACTGAACCTGGGCGACGTTTTGCTTGCATCGGGCCTCCTTGGTGCCGAGTTGGTAGAGCGTTCTGTCAATGTGGGTGGGCACCGGCTTGGTCGCCTTGGGCTCTCGCTTGATGATGGGGATGGCGAAGGGAGTGCCGACAAAGGTAGGGTTGGCAGGGCCGCGTACAGCGATGACCATGGCAACGTCTGGGCGGGTGCCCTGTCCCAACACTTGTTCAAGGATCTTGTCACCGTCTTCGGTGGAGATACCGTCTTGGTAGGTGGTACTGGGTCCTGGGTGTGGCTGATGCCGTGGTTCGCACGCAAGCGCGCCAGGGCGGCGCTCAGTTTTTTAGGGTCGTCGTGGCGCCTATATCTAAGGCACCTTGGAGGTAGTCACTGTGGTGCTGTGCCAGTAGGTTGTATGCCTTAGTGGCTCGGTCATAGCCACTTTGGACGAGTGCCGCGGCACACGCTTGCGATGAAAGGGTGTTCCTTCCAGAGGCAGTTTGCGCGGCGCTGGTCTTTTGGAGGGCAGGCGGCGGCGGCGGCCAGTCGACTTCGGAGCCATGGCTGCGGCCGTCTGCGGGGTACGGATAGGACGCCAATCTGTCACGACCTGGGTGGGTCGTGTCTGGTCTCGCGGGGCAAGAAGGGAGGATGCGGTTCGCTTGGCGTCTGGGCTCGCACTGAACAAAGCTCTCGAGCCGAGACTAGAGAGAGAGAGAGAGAGAGAGAGAGAGAAAAAAAAAAAAGAGGGGGAGGGAGGGAGAGGGAGAGGGAGAGGGAGAAAGAGAGAGAGAGAGAGAGACACAGAGAGGCGTGCTGGGTCCCAGCGCTCCTCCTCAAAGCTGGCTGCCGCCGCCTGGGCCCTGGCCGCCCCCGGGGCGCTTGCCGGCTGGTGCCCCTTCGGGCCGTCGGCTTTGGAGGGCGCGTCGGCGGAAGCGCTGGAGGAAGCCATGCCTCGCGGGGGCGATGGTAGAGCCACCGCCGTCGCCGTGGTGGTGGTGATGTTCGTCGTCGTCGTCGTCGTCGTCGTCGTCGGCGTCGTCGTCGTCGTGGTCGTCGTCGTCGTCGTCGTCCCGTCGACCTCGCCGCTGTCCTCGTCGAGGGGGGGGAGGAAGAGGAATGGTACAAGGAGGAGATGAGGGGAGGGGGAAGGAGGGGGGGGAAGAGGAGAAGGACGGCAGAAAGGACGAGGATGGGGGAAGTGGAGGAGAAGGCGGAGGAGGACGCGGAGAATGGGGCAGCAGGGGAAGGGGAAGGAGGGCCAGGAGCAGAGGAGGATGAGGAGGAGGAAGAGGAGGAGGAGGAGGAGGAATCGGAAAAGGAGGAGGAGGAGTAGCTGCCGCCCTCGGCACGAGCTTGCAGTTTCTCGAAATACCTGGTGTGCCAAAGAGGGCACTTCGAGGAAACGCCTTCGCGACCACCTGCCCCTCATCATGGTGGCGGGGGGCGGGGAGCCAGGGGCGCGCGCGCGAGCTGCCCAGATCCCCCCCTCACCCCCCCTTCTCCCCCTGCGCGTGCCCCGTCTGCGCTCGGAAGGGGGGGTCCTTCCTCGCCGCCTGCTGAAGGAAACGCTGGGGCACATTCGTTCTCGATGTTGAGCTCCGTGAAGGCCCCCCCGAAACTCTGCAGCTCTCCCTGGCCGCTGGGAAGCGAGAGGCTTCCGCGGGGCACCCGCTGGCAGGCCGATGTCTTCATTGATGTGCCCGCTGTGCCCCGGGTGCGGCCCCATTCGCATCTGGGGGGCGCCGTGCTCAGCATCCGCGGGGGACCTCGCTCCGCGACTGGCTGGCGGGGCTCGCGCCGTGCGACGGGGGCGGGCGAATCGCCGCGCGGCGCGAGCACCTGGGCGCGCGGCGCGGGGGCCTCTCGCGGGGCGACGCAGCTGCGTCGTGTGGGCAGGGATCCGTCTCCGCGACCAAATGGGTGGATCCACACGTTCCTGTCGGGGAGACGTAAGACCCGGGTACGGGGGACTCGGGTTGGCCCGACGAGGTCGTCAAAAAAATGACGAGGCCGAGCCTGCATTTTGACGAGGCCTCCCGCTGCAGACATCCCACGAAACTCCTCCTCGTCAAAATCCGAGGCGCGGTCGTCAAAAAACGATGGCGAACCCGAGTCCTGGCAAACCCGGGTCTTACGCTCCCCCGAAATGGGTGGATCCACACGTTCCTGGGCGGGGTGGGCTATCAGGCCCCTACCGGCGAGCAGTAGGCAATTCGGGGTCGATTCCCCCCCCGGCCTGTCCCCCCCTTGCGTTGCCCCTGACATTGCGTCACGTGACATCATACCCCACGCGATGGCGCTCATGGAGCCGATTTCGCCTCGGGAAGATAGGGGTCTTGACGCCAATGCAGAACGCTCGTCTTATTCATCGCTCATCGTCCTCATCCAAATCAGCCCTCCCCTGCTTCACGTCCTCAGACCCCTCGCCAGACGGATGATCTAGACTTCCTCTCAATCTGGGCCAACTCCCTCTCCTCCTCTCCCTCCCTCCTGTTCTTTTTCTGCACATTTAAAACAGGGCTAGGATCGGGATAAATCGCTCCAGAGCGTTCCGGAGCGCTCTCAGAGCGTTCGGGAACGCTCTGGAGCGGCCGCGGCGCCCAATACATCCTCCAAACCCGCAGATTCTCAGAGATTTCGAGTTATCCCGATCCGATTTTGTCCCGATCTTCGCGTCGTTTTAACATTCCTCCTCGCACTTCTAGCCCCTGGTCCTCCTCCTGCCACGCGCTCTCCACAATCGACCCTCCCTCCCTCTGGAGGGCGGGCGGTGGCAGCTACGACGGCCCCCCCAGGGGGGGCACTGGCCGAGCGCCCTGGGCCGACGCCGCTGCTCTGCGGAGAGCTCACCAAGGTGCGGGACGGCTCCATCGCAGCTCAGAGCACCCGGGCTTCCGTCCCTGCGCCAGGTCGCCCTGCGCCGAGCCACGAGGCGCCGGGGTCCGCGGCGACAGGCCGACCGCGCCGCGCAGGCGGAGCCTGGCAGGGGCTCCGCACCGCTGCGGCGCTCGCCACGTTGAGCGCCTGGATGCTGGCCGGCGCCCCCTGGCGGCTGCCCTCGGCGTCTCGGGCAGGCCGGCTCGACATGGATAAGTCCACGCTTTGGTGCCAGAGCGACTTCATCACGCACAAGGGCGAGTGCCTGGTCCGCACCGCCGCCCTCGAGAACATCACCGGGGCCTGCGAGGCCAAGGGCGAGATCGGCAAGGATTCCCTGCTGGAGGCGCTCGCCAGCTACCTCTCGGAGGCCTTCGCGGCGCCGACCCACGAGAACTTCAGCACCTCGCTCCTGGGCTACGCGCCAGACGAGAAGCTGCCGCGCACGATGGCCCTGGTGGAGCCGTACCTGAGGCCTGAGGGCGCGCCGCTTTCGACGCGATGCGTCGCTGTATCGCAGACGCAGCATCGTTCAGCCAGGCTCGTGTGGCTTAATGTTCTCTGTGCCCCTTCCCGCTTCGTCGCTCTCACCATCTTTTCTTCTGGTCTTCCGCACGCTGGACGTTCTGTCAGGGAGGCAACCAGCGAAGGGGCGCTGGATGCCGCGAGCGTCCATGATAGTTATTCCGTCCATTTTTGTTGTCCTTTCCCTTTCTTGCCCCGAACCTCCTCTCCTCCTGAATTCGCCGAGCAGTTTCCCTTCTCCCCTTGCCCTCCCAACAACTCCTGTGCTTGCGTGCTTGCTTGCCCACGCCCCCGTCGACCCCCACGAGCCCAGACGACAGCGCGTGCCCTGCCACAGGACGATCGACACATTCGCTCAGTCGACGCTCGTGTCCGACCACCGCCTGAACCAAACGCGGGGCAATTCCCGACGCTTTATCCGAGCCTGGCGCGCTGCCCGACTTCCTACTTCAGCACGACGCCCTTCTCGACGCCTCAGTCCAGTACGACGCCCTACCCGACTCCCCACCCCAGCCCAACGCCCTACCCGACGCCCTGCCCCAGCACGACGCCCCACCCAACGCCCTACCCCAGCTCGACGCCCTACCCGACGCCCTGCCCCAGCAAGACGCCCCACACCAGCCTGATGCCACACCCCACCCCGACTCCCTACCCGAAGCCCCGCCCTAGCCTGACGCACTGCCCGATACCTCACCTTGACCCGACGCCCGACCCCTTCCTCGACCGGACGCCCTGCCCCAGCCCGGTGCCCTTCCCAACGCCCTTCCCGTCGCCCTGCCCCAGCACGACGCCCTACTGGACGCCCTCCCCAAGCACGGCGTCCTGCCCGACATCGAGCCTCAGCACGACGCCATACATGACGCCCTTCCCAAGCACGACGCCTCACTGGACGCCATACCCGAGCCCGATGCCTCCCCCCAGCCCGACGCCCTTCTCGACGCCCAGCCCCAGCACGACTCCCCACCCGACGCCCTACGCCAACCAGACGTCCTCCACGACGCCGCCACGCAGACCGTCGCCCGACCCGACGTCCAGCCCCAGCGCGGCGCCATATCCGTCGTCCGTCCTGGCGCAGCCCGAGACAGAGTTGGAACGCCTGCCCAGCAGCCGCCTGGGTGCTGCAGCTGCGCGCGGGCCCGGCCCGTCTTGTGCGCCTTCGAGGAGCTTGGAGGGATTTTACATGGAAATCGGGCTGGGTTTCCCAAGGCCTTCATTCTCCCACCCGTCGGTGCCCCTCCACCCCTTCCCAGGGGCGTCCTCATCCTGTTTCTCCTCCTGTCCTCCCTGCCCGTTCTCTCCCCCCCTGCCTCCGTCCTCCTCCTGTCCTCCTTGCCCGTCCTCTCCTCCCCTGTTCCCGTCTCGCCCGTCCCCGCGCCAGCATTCCTGGATCGCGGGGTGCGGTAGCGGGTATCTTCGTTCTCCCCCTAGGGCCTCCCCGCCTGAGGAGCCCGCCCGCCCCTCTGGTGAGGCAGGTGCTGTGGCCGCGCTCGAGGCTTACGCGTCTCGTCCACGTTCGTGGACGCAGGGGGACTTCCAATTTCAATTGAGGTCAGGATGTCTCGGGCCCACTTTCGACCACCCTCCCTGCCCCCTCCACGGGTTTCTGGTGGCCACTCCCGCTCCAACGTCCGCCCTCTTCTCCTCCTCCTCCTCCTCCTCCTCCTCCTCCTCCTGTCCTCCCTGCCCGTTCTCTCCTCCTCTGCCTCTGTCTTGCCCGTCCCCGCACCAGCATGTCTGGATCGCAGGGTACGGTGTCGGGTTTGTTTTCTCTCCCTTTAGGGCTGCCCCAGTCGAGGATCCCGCAAGCCCCTCGCCTGCGCCGCGCGCCGTGCTGCCGGCGCACGTGGAGGATTCCTCGCCCTGGGTGCCGCCGCCGCGGAACGTCCGGGGAGGCATCCAAGTCTTGGCGGGGGCTATCGACCCTCCTTTTCCCGGGCCCTCGTGGACCCTGGTATCCTGGTTCTGGTCTGGTGCCAGGATTGCGGCTGATCCCCAAAACGACATTGGAGATCTTGACCCCTTCCCCAAGGTTTGGACGGCTCCAGGGGGTCCCGGCACGAAATAGTACCCCGAACCCTGTCCCATCTCTCAGGAGAGGCATGGGATTTTGTCTCGGCGGGGGTGCGACTTGGCCTCGGAAGTTACGTCTATCGCGATCGTTCTTGTCTTCCCTGCGTCTCCCGACGGGCCCCCAGGTCCTCCGCCCACCAGGTGCCAGTTACCCCCTTGTCCGGGCTCCTTTGCGGTCCCGCCGGGGCCGCCCGCCCGTCGACGCAGCAGGATTGAGAGCGCTGCACCCCAGCATTCGCCATCTAGGAGCTGGCAGCCTTCCCGAGGATTCCGCGCTATGAGGGGCCACCTCTCCAGCCATAGACCCTCATGGGGTCACGGGACTCAGGCCTTGCGAGCTGGCGCTCCAAGGAACTTTCCCCTGGACCCTGGTCTGCTCTTTGGTCCCTCTTTAGGTGTCGATCCCTTCCCAGGTTCCCTGCGGGACCGTGCCGCCACTCTGCCGACGTGGTTCGACGTCCTCCGGAAGCTCGGGCTGACG